AGCCAGGTTGAATACCGGGCTTCAGAAATAAAATTTGCCTCTAGGAGGTCTTTTACAGCTTTTTCAGCAGCCTCCGTTTTCTCCGGAGACTGCCTACGCCTACGTTGTACTACTGCCTTAGCGGCTGGGTCTATGGCGAGACGGTGACAGGCGACCTCGGGGTCGAGTCTGGGCATCTCCGCGGTGCTCCACGCGAACAAGTCAGCATTCTCGCGCAAGCAGGCTTTGATTTTCTTCCTTGCCAGGTCGGGGAGGTCGAGGCTAATCTTCACTCCTTTGCTTGGGTCCTCGCCGAGGGGGACGAGCTCGAAGTCCCCGTCCGGAATTGGTCGGAGGGGGATTTGCTCGCCGGTGGGAGGTTCGTCCTGATCGAAACGGGTATCCAGAGCTATGGAGTCGACCTTTGGGGGAGCTCTCTGGTCTTCTGCTTTGACGGGCTCTGATTTTTCGGGCTCTTGTCGTGTCGTCGCCAGTCTCTTGGCGAGCCTTGTCCCAGTGTCGACTGTGTCGCGTCCCTCGGATGCAGCGTTGAAACACCTTCGAGCAGCGGCCAAGTCCCCCTGGATGGTAGCAACCCGTGCCCTCTTGGTGTAGAACTTCATCTTCAAGTGGACGGTGGAGGGCACCGCGGTCAGCTCTGCTAGTGTTGGTCTCCCCAGGATGCAGTTGTAGAGGGACGAGCATTCGATGACGAGGAAGCGCACCTTGACCTGCCTCGTCGTCGTGTCCTCGCCGAAGGTAACCATGAGCTCGACATATCCCCAAGGTTTGGAGGTCGAGCCGTTGAAGCCCTGTAAGTCCGACCCCACGTACGGCGAGAGGTGCGAGTCGTCTAGCTGCAGAGTCCGAAATAATTGGCTGTACATCACGTCGACGAAACTTCCTTTGTCGACGAGGATGCGGTGCACGTCAAAGTTGGCCATTCTTGCTCTTATCAGCAGAGGAATGATTGCGTTGGGGCTCCTCCGGGGAGCTCTTCTAAGTAAAAGGTGATAGGCTCCGACCTACCTTTCACCCTTTCAAAAGTCATCGACTGAGGAGGTGCAGAGTCGACCAGTTCATCCAGCTTTCTCTTGGCCGAATTGATGGTTAGGTCGTTGAATCCTCCACCATTGATGACCATGGTGGAGGGAAAGTATTCCCACCTGTTGTGTGTCGTGAGTGGCTCTTGCAAGTGTTCAGGGACGTAGAAGTCCTCCGGTCTGGTGACGGAGAAGGCGGTCTGGACGGGGACCGACTCGTCAGATGGTCGGGCGTCTTCCTCCGGTTCTCTTGTCTCCTGGACGTCGCGACGAGGAGCGTCATTTCGCCGGTATTGGGCGAGCCTTCCTCCCTTGATGAGGGTTTCGATGGCGTCTTTCAGGTGGACGCAGTCTTCAGTCAGATGACCACGGCTTCTATGGTACTGACAGTATTTGCTCTTCTCTACTCCGGGCTTGGTAGGAGCAGGTCGAGGGAGCTTGACGCCTCCATCTTTAAAATTCGTACTGGCACACTCCGCCAAGATGCGCTCGCGGGAAGCTGTAAGCGGAGTGTATTCTGTGAAACGCCCCGAGGGTCCTCTCTGCTCTCGGACTTCTCGGGGTCTGTCCTCTTTCCTTTTCTCCCCGGTTTGTCGAGGAGGAGCGGCTTCTTGGCGCGGGTTACTGCTGGATCCGCGAGTTCTGGGGTCCCGGGCTCTGTTGGCCGCCTCCCTTTCCTCGTAATCCATATATGCCTGGGCCTTCTCGAGGAGAGCATCGAATGTTCGGGGTGGTTCGATGCCCACCGCCTTTCTGAATTTTGTGCCGGGGAGGAGCCCCCTCTCCAGCAAGTACCTTTTCATGTGGTCCGCGCAGGGGACCTGTATGGCTTCGCGATTGAAGCGATTGATAAATTCTCTCAAGGTTTCATCCTGTCTCTGGATGATGGCCTTGAGTGCTGCCTCGGTCTTCGGGTGTCGCCGAGACGCAGTGAACGAACTTATGAATTGATTCTTCAGGTTTCGCCATGAGGTGATTGATCCCGGGGCGAGGCCTTTATACCAATCCATTGCTACCTTTCTGAGGGTCGTGGGAAACAACCGACATTTGATGGGTCCCCCGACATTATGGTAATGCAGCATAGCCTTAAACCCGTCTATATGGTCGACTGGGTCCGCAACTCCGTCGTATTCTTTCAGATGTGGAGGCTTCTCCATGCCCGGGGGAATGGGCGCCTCCATGATGGCTTGTGACAGGGGACCGCGGGGGTCGTCCTCATCACTTTGCTCTGGGGACAGGGATGGGGACCTGAGATATTGTCGTGCCCGATGGTCCTGGTCGTGCTGGGTATCCCTCGAGCAGGGTGCTCGTTGGTCAATTCTTCTGTGCCTGTCTCCGGAGTGTCTTCTTTCTTGTCGTATGGGGCCATGGTTGCGCCCTCCGGCTTCAATGACGGGTTACCTCTCCAAAGGGGGTCGTCTCCCCGATGATCGGGGCGACAGGCTTCGAGAGGTGTCTTTGTATTGTCTCCGCGGGGGAGATAGGAGATGTACCTCTGTTACTCGAGGAGGTGGAGTCTGAGGTCTCCTGTGTCTCCTCGCGGGTCTTCTAGCGCCCTCAATCTTTCCCCCTGGGAAAAGATGAGGTAGTTGGTTTGGTTGATCGCCGCGAATAGTGCGTGGGTTGTGGCATCTGCCCCGACGGGGACAAGGACTTCCTGAAATTGGGCAGCTAGATAGTTTGGGGGAGCTGCATTGTCTTCTTCGAGCGGCGGAGGGACTGAAGAAGATGAGACAGTAGCTTCGTCGCGGTGGACTAGGGGCCCGGGGATGGTGCCCCCGGGGAATGTGTTATGGTCGGGGTTGCCGACGTTGTCGGGAATTCCGTTTTTATCTACGACGTTGTTGTTGACGTCGACGACGCTGATGTTCTGTTTGTCCCGGACTTGGTCAGCCATGACGGTAGGGGGTGATTATGAGCTTTGGTCTTCGAGGGTTTGCAAGACGGGGAAGCTAGTTTCCCACAGACGGCGCCACTGATCTTACCTGATCAGACTTGGACCGTCACGACTGGCTCGGGCAGAATTTGAGTGAGATGGGGGTACCTGCAAGACATTCCGATGCTAAAATGAGTGACGAAATGAGCAGGCGAAGAGTTTATGTATGTGTAAGAGAAGAATACCTGACCCTCTAGGAACAAAGGGTATTTATAGCCCCCAGCGCTAGGCCAAGGTCCCCTCATTGGGCCGACCAGAACTGGCCCAATAAAGGAACTGCCAGGTTCTACGTATGTAGTGGGGACCCCGCACGTGGTCCCCTTCCTGGTGATGCTCTGCGAAGAATGAGAAGGGACGAAGACGCGGTCTTTCCGAAATTTAGATGATTCGATAACGGTTAGAGAGGACGGAATCTGCCCTACGGGGAGAGTGCTCGAGCAGGACTCGAGCTGGAGTTCCCCTGATCGGAGACACCAGCGATGGCGGGCATGGCTACAGTCTGTGGTCGGGCACGTCGGCGGTGATCCGCGGGCATGCATTCCTCAAGGAGTTTTGCTTGGATTGGACCTTTATCTGCGCTTTGTGCCAGAGCGGGCCCAGTCCAGAACAGATACGTTCATTGGAGATGAATATTATTTTTTGCACACTAGATGTTCGATCAAAGAATCAAACTCTTGATGTCAAATATTAGGACAAAATCCAATCATAAGAGTATGATAAACAAGTGTAGAAAAGTAGAGAGAGATAGAAAGAATAGGGTGAAAAGAGTGGCATTTTCATTAACAAACTAAATTGGGATATTTATAATATCAATACACAATTGTAGAACTAACCAACTAAATAATAAAACAAAATTTTCAAACATGTAAACAACTACACAAAATTTATAATCGGTTACACAATGTTATTACCTTATTTTAGCAAAGGTGGTAATCAATTACATAAAATCCGTAGCCAATTATAGGTCACTTCTATTTGTTTTATTTTATTGTTGAACAAGACGGTAATCAATTATACAAAATCTATAGCAGGTTACACAATGCTGCTACTAATTCTGACAAAAGTGATAATCAATTACATAAAATTTATAACCAATTACACCCTAGTAATTACTTTTTTCTTCCAATAGTTATATAGAAAAGTTCATTTGACTAGCAGGGGCGGCTCGACTTTGAGAAAAGAAAATGACTAAGTCACTAATCATTTTCAGCAACTATTCTTTTTACTTTTTCTTGTTCAACTTACATACCATCATATTGAATTTTCTTATAACAAAACATTTTGTAGAAAAAAACTTCAACCCACGGTTAATAAAATAGTGTTAACACAGTATATATAACGCAAGGTAATAAAAACAGGTGTATATGACAGATTAATGTTGAAATGTTCAATCGTGATTCAACCTAAAACACACAATTAATCCGACAAAAACACTTTTCACTCAATTTTATTTATAATGATTAAAAAGTTTATAGATTATATAAAATTGTGAATAATAGTATTCAGTTCATGATTAATGAATTGTCTTGCCTTGTTATATTCATTAACCATAAACTAAATTGTCTTGCCTTGTTTTATACCTCCTATCATAGGCGGATACCGGAGCTGTTGCCCTAGATAGTAGAGTATTAAACTAATAGCAGTTTAACACATTTCAAAAGTTCATCAAAATGCTAATCTTTTCAAAAAAAAGTTAGAGATTAGATAAGTCAAAGTAAAAAATAATGCCAACTTCAATTTGAGACACTTAAAAATTCAGAGCAAAACTAATTCTCAAATTTCCAAACATAAATGCCAAATAAATTCTTCTTACATTTACCAGAAAAACAAAAATGGGTAACAGTGGAACTGCTTCGCCATATGATTATCAGCTACCTGCCCATCTAGAATACTGTCATGCTGTAACTACCTACCAAACTCATAAAAACAATATCACTATTCAGTATTATTAGAAAGTACATGATATTTTATTGCCGGGTTTTCCCGACTTTCTTTCTATCCCAATGTTACATAGAAACAATTAAGAGGGGTGACTAAGACTTTCACATCACATTTTTTTGTATAAAGTCGTAATGGTTATCATCAAAATCTAATTCAGAAAATTCACTCCCACCTGAGAAGTCATAATCGTCAGACAATATAACTATGTCTGAGTTCTTAGATGAGTAGTCTTCATATGATCCATCATGAAATTCAGCTTCAAATGGGTAGTCATCAGTGTCATCATTTGGAAGCCGTAAACACTTGATTTGTTCTTTACATCTCTTCTCCAAACTTCCTTCCAAATTAATATTGAAACACTGACGTATGTCGAGCGATTCAAGGTGAGGACAACCATCAAGAATAGCAAGCAAACCATCATTAGCCATCTTGTTTCCAAGAAGTTGGAGATGGCATAACCCAGGCATGCTTTGCGCTATAGCAAATGCCATCTCGTTGTCGTCATCATCATCTTCATCATCATCATCATCATCATCATCATCATCATCATCATCCTCATCATCATCATCATCATCATATTCAAAGTCTACATGTTTGCATGAATGATTGTTGAACTTAAAGGTTTTCAATTGAGGACAACATTGGCCAATGACTTCCAAAGGATCCTTGGATAAGCGGCTAATTGATATATCAAGTTCCTCCAAGTAAGGAAGCTTTTCAGCAATTTCACACAATCCTTCATCTGTCACGCTATAGCAACACGCAAGACGGAGGCGTCGCAGATGACTTGCACTGTAAAATGCCAAGACAACAGGGGGAGATACTGTTACAAAGAGATGCTACCAAAATATCTACCATACATTGGTAAATTAACTAGATGATATGCTACCACAATATCAGTGGTGACTTTAGTTAAATATAAAAAAAAATGTCAATTTTGTATTTATATAGCACATAGAACATTTTATAACACAAACAGAAGCACAAAAACTAATTTGTATTGCAAACACGGGTAAGTTTTCCCTTTCGGCAATATCTACATCACACACTAAAAAATAATTTCTATATGGAAGACAATATCTTAAATATGAAACAAAAGAAAATTGACAGTTATCCTTTAAAGTAAGTCTCACTTACTAATACTGTTTATAAAAATAGATGATAGATAAAAGAACAGATAGAAATGGAAACTTTGCTTTCAGCAATAAGCGATAAATGAACTTTCTTTGTCTAACTCCAAACAACCCACCGGAAAAGTGAAAATTTATTTAACCTAAATGCAAATCAATACTATCATCATAACTATTGATGAGTTTTGTAATTATTTCTTCCAATCCTTTTTCAACATTACACTTTTGCCAATTTGAGAGTATTCATACATTTCTAGTCAAAATCCCAGATGCCCATTTGAGAGTTGGGTAATAATACTTTTATGTAATATTATTTCTAGCCAAAATCCAATCAAGTTCAAACATGCTTACAATCATTAGCTCCACTGTGTTCAACCCTCTAGATCTACTTCAAATTAAAAAATTTAAAAATCTTTACAGACAAACAGGACTTTATTCCTTCCAAGATCAAAACCAGCCACAACAACAAAACTATTCTTGCAGAAATATACCTTTGACGCAATAAATTTTTTTTTTTCAGATTTAAAATGAAATTTGAGACTAAGAATATTTTAGTTATTCCTAAAAAATAAATGAATAGATTTCGATATATTATGCTTTACAAGTTCATCGCTAAGTAAAAGGCTCTCCCTTGAACAAGAAACTACTTGAGTTTGCCCTTGAGTAGAAAACAAGGGGAACGCATTTTTTGTCCCTTGTTTCCAAGAGGAATGCATGCAACTAACACACTTAAACACTCACTTTTCAACACTAACACTATTATTGCGAGGAATCCCCTACTGACCCGAATTGTATTGTCCATGGCAATTCAGATTTCCAAACATCAGCCACGTAAAGACGCCATTGCGGCACCATGACTGTATATGAAAACACCGACTCGATAAAATAAATAATCAGGGAATAAACAGTTGGTTTAGTCCCTAAAGTATGACCTAACATCTATAATTTTAATGAGTAGTTACTAAAGTATATAAAGTTCATCGCTTTAGTTCATTCGTAGCCGGTTCACTAAATTTGCGAATTTCATATAATAAAAAAACTAATTATTTTTGTTAAATAATGCAGAGTGTCAAATCGAAAGGAATACTCGTATTGTCACTAGAGTTTCAATCAGTGGAAGCTGTAGTTTTGTTCCAATAACCAGATGCTGCAATATTGTGGTTCGAAAATTGAAAAACTTCTAACGAACTAGGTCACAAAAACATTAAAATTAATGGAATTAAACAATTGATTTTTAAGATGGTGGATTGAAAAACGAAAAATGTAGAAGAAAGTGGAACATACGAATTAGCGATGTGGCAGAGAAGATCATCGGTACCAATATAATCGATGCTGATATCAACTAACTGGCCGCAGCTGTAATCAACGGCGCGGTGGCATAAAATCTCTAGTTCCAAATCGGTGCCAAGGTCGCCGAAATTGGGCAAGTCGATGGTGCGATAGAGGAAAGGGTCCTTGGAGATTTTGCGCCACGTGGTGCAAACATTATGAGTGCAAATGAGAATATCGACCGTGTCAAGCCGCCGGAAAATGGATAATACTACATCTCGTGGAAGATCGAGCCAGTTCCGTTCTCCGGAATCGATTACTGGTGGTGGTGATGACTCCATTGAAAAATTAAGGTTAGAAGATTGTGGTAGAAAGGGATTACATTTGTTATTTTCTGTTAAGCTGGAGAAATCAATGAATGACAAAAATTTCTATATTTAATTTTAATATATTTAATTATTTGTTAAAAAAACATTTTACATTGAGGTTATTCTAATTCAATTTTTTCAGTCTTATAAATAGGAGTGGTAAAATGGATTAGGCCTGTCGGATTGATCCGTTTGATCCGTCATTTTTAATGAGTTAGATTGAGATTTTTGACTCGATATTTTAAGTTGGCCCGTCCGGTCTAATCTATTTAAAAAAGAGGGCTGAAGTAGGACGGGGCAGGTTTTCTCCGCGTGTTTTTTGTTAAAACTTTTACTCTTTTTATTAAGAATTAAAACAACTTCAATTACAAAAACAACACTTATCTCTTAGGATTGTATTATAAATTATTATATAGACAAATTGAATTATAATTGTAACGTTCTTTCTATAACTTTCTAATACATGCGTTGATTGAAAATAATTAAAATAAAAGAACAAATGTATGACATGTATAATTTTTAAGTTTTCAATATATTAGTTCAAATATTTTCTTTAGAAATAGATGTTGATTTAAGAAAATGAAGGATTTGATTAGTGTATACATGTGATAAATTTATGATTTAACTATTAAAGAATCGGTCAATATAAGAGTATATGTAATGTAAACAGTAAAAAAGTTCGGTATTTATATTTTACGCATTACTATTTTATGCACTGTGATGTTTTATGCAATGTTATTGTTATCATTATTGGTTTTGTGTAAATCTAAATTAGGTTCTTTTAATAGTTAGCTTTTAAATAAGATTATGATGATATGTATTGTTTATTTATTTTGATATTTTTTTTAGGGTTAATACCTATTTTCACCCCTGACATATGGGGTGTATTTGAAAAAACCCCCTGCCAAAAAAAAAGTTCCAATTGTTACCTCGACAAATTTTAAAAGTTTCAGTTTTTACCTTGAGGATGCCACATCACCTAAAAGGTTGATGTGGCTTATATTTTTGTTACATTTGTAAGTTTTTGTTATGCCATGTCACACAATACCAAATAAAATGTCCAGAATGCCCTTTCTACATTTTTCTTAAAATCTCAAATTATTTGGCAAATGCTATGTTTCAATTCAGACCCTCCAAATTAGGGCGCAGCCATCTTCATCTCAGCAACCCAACTTTTGCTTTCCTCTTCATCTTTAAGTTTTCTTTGATTTCATAAACATGAGTCAACCAAATTGTTCTACTTCAAGCTTATCTTCAAATGGTAGAGTAACTCCCAAATGCAGCCACAATGTCTCCATGAAGTTATTTGTTTCAAAATCGGTTGCAAATCCCGGGAGAAAATACTGGAAGTGTAAGTTTTGGGGTAAAGGAGATGACTGCGACGCATTTGTTTGGGATGATGAATTTTCTGATGATTTCGGTGATAACGGCCATTCGGATGTAGTTTCAGTAGAACCGATGAGCAAACTGGAGAGAGATATCGCACTGAAGATGGAAGCCATGGAGAGAAAAATGGATGAGTTAAAAAAGAAGCTGAATTATGTTTTAGTTGGGTTTATTTGTCTTTTGGTTCATTTCTTACTTAGTTCATGTAAAAATTCATGAAGTTGTGGCTTATGTTCTAGGAAGTTGTAACCTATGTAAAATTTAGTTCATGAATTATATTTCTTTGTTATGGAATATGGAATATATTACTCTCATGAGTTTTGGTTAGTTGAGTTATGGAATATGGAATATATTTCTTTCTTATGGTTTCTTATGGAATATATTTGCTTAAGTCTGTTCTGATATATTGTTAAGTAAAACTGTTTTGGAATATTTTGGAAATCTGTTCTGATATTTTGGAAATCTGTTCTTAAGCAATTCTGTTGAGTAATTCTGTTGTACAAAATTTGTTGTTAAGCAAATCTGTTGTTAAGTAATTCTGTTCTTAAGCAAATCTGTTGTACAAAATGACAATAACATAGTTAAGCCAATCTGTTGTGATACATAGTCAAGCAAATCTGTTGTACAAAATGACTTTAACATTGTTAAGCAAATCTGTTGTGATACATAGTCAAGCAAATCTGTTGTACAAAATGACTTTAACATTGTTAAGCAAATCTGTTATGATACATAGTCAAGCAAATCTGTTGTACAAAATGACTTTAACATTGTTAAGCAAATCTGTTGTGATACATAGTCAAGTACATCTGTGATACAAAATGACTTTAACATTGTCAAGCAAATCTATTGTGATACATAGTCAAGTACATTTGTGATACAAAATGACAATAACATGATACATAACTTAAGCCAAGACTGTTCTGATAATAAGTCAAAGTAACAAAATGACACAGGAAACTTTCAAATTGAATTTTACAAAATAGCACACTATGTGCACAACTACTGATCAATGCCCTTCCTCTTCTTCCTTGATATCTTCTTTGAGGTACTACCACCAGTGTCTTCACCTATGGTCAAAGGTGCATCAGGTGTTGATCCAGGCCCACCATGTCTTTTGGCATTCCTCACTTCCTTCAATCTTTCACTGACTCTCTTTCTTGATCGCTTCCAAGGCACGGCCACGACCTTTTTCCTAGCTGAAGGTTTTTTGACATTAGTAGCAGCAGGGTCAGGTTGCATTGCAGCAGGTTGTGAATCATGTGTTGGGGGAGGTTGCATTGCAGCAGGTTGTGATTCATGTGTTGGGGGAGGTTGCATAGCAGTAGGTTGTGTGGGATTGTCAACTTGTGATTGTTGTTCTTCATAAAGATCCATCATATTATTCAGCAATGCATCCATCTCTGGGCCTTCATCCACAGTTCCACCTCTAGTTTCAGTTGTATCAACATTTGCATCCATCTCTGGGCCTTCATCCACAGTTCCACCTCCAATTGCAGTTGTATCAACATTTGCATCCATCTCTGGGTCTTCATCCACAGTTCCACCTCCAGTTGCAGTTGTATCAACATTTGCATCCATCTCCGGGCCTTCATCCACAGTCCCATCAGATTTTTTTGACACTTTGGTCCTGGGTGTCTTTCTCTGCATTATTCAGAAACAGATATAAATAAAGACATTTCAATATACTGAACACAATATTATTCAGTAACAGATTCATGAACACAATACCTTTCTCTTTAGTGCATTAGGATCTTGCTCCTTAGCTTGACACTTCCTAGAATTATGGCCAAATTTGTCACAATGTGTGCATCTATATGCTACACCTACCCTCCTCATCCTTGAACCATTCTCATCCAACTCTCTAAACCTCAGTTTCTTAGGCCTTCCAGGTCCCTTCTTGTATTGTGGTGGCAACAATTCTTCAGCATCAACAGTTAGCCACATGTCCATGCCATTTATTGGACTAACATTGTTTTCATAACATGCCCTGTAAGCTTCTCTCATGTAACAAGGGTCAACATATTTCTCAGGATCTAAGTTTTGATACTGTAATGCAGAAATAACATGCCTACAAGGTATGCCCACAAGATCCCAAAAACAACAAGTACAAGTTTTTTCCCAATATCAACAACAAACTGCAATCCATTATATGGGTGATGGACTTGCCACAAATCACCACTGCTCCATGTAGGCAGCCATTCTCCACTAAGATATGTTTCCTTATCAAGCCTTTTCATAGGATTAGGCATGACATTGTGCTTCCACTTATCAAGCTTAACAACACTATTAGCAATCCTATTCATCACGTAGTTCCTAATCCATTCTACCATAGTGAGTATTGGCTTATCCCTAGCTTGTAATATTGTACTATTGAAAGATTCACTCAAGTTATTCATCAAAACATCACACTTAGGGTAAAATGAAAATGAATGCTTACACCATAGTTTTGTTGGCACTCCCATCAGCCATTCACATGCCTTCTTATCAATTTGTTTAAGCTGATTCATCTTCTTCTCCCAAGCCTGGAAGTAAGTAGCCTTTGCAGCCCCCAATAACAGGTCTCTAATGGCAGCTCCCCCTCCAAATTTCTTCTTGAAATTTGCATACAGGTGTCTGAGGCAGACCCTGTGTTCAACTTGCTGATGCATTTCCTCAAAGACACTAACAAGTCCTTAAAAACAGCAAGACAACAGAAAAAAGCATGTACATTAGCAACTTATATATTCCTCATAAATGTTAAACATTAGCAACAGAACAAGGCATGTAACATTAGCAGCAGGTTCTGATAAATGTTGAACATTAGCACTAGAATTAAGTAGTGCATATAGGGAAATAAACCAGAAATTAGTGCACTTTGTATAAACCAGAATTAGTGCACTTTGTATAAACCAGAACTATGTCACAAAGGTAATAGTGCATATTAGTGCAGAATTAGACATACTTCAGTACCAGAATTAAGACATACTACAGTAGCAGAATTAGTGCATATTAGTGCAGAATTAGTGCATGTTTCATAAATGTGAATAACAAAGGTAATTAGTGCATATTTGTACCTTTTGTTGGTCTGAAATAAAAACATACTTTCTCTCTTCTCCAATGTCTTCCATTAGCAATTGCATAAACCATCTCCAGCTTTCTTTTGTCTCAGTCTCCACCACACCAAATGCCAAAGGATAATATTGGTCATTCGGGTCCCTTGCTACAGCAATTAACAACTGACCTCCATATTGTGTCTTAAGATGACACCCATCTACCCCTATAAATGGTCTACAACCCTTGGTAAACCCTTTCTTGCATCCATCAAAACAGAAGTAAAATCTACCAAATCTTAGTGGTAGTGTTGGATGTGGTCTCTCAGTATTTAGTTTGACAGTGTTCCCAGCATAATGTTTTCTCAACTCAGCTGCATATCTCCATAACATGTTATACTGTTCCTTTGCATCACCTTCAATTATTTCTTCAGCCATAGCTTTGGCTCTCCAAGCTTTCCCTTTGGTAATGCCCACTGAATATTTCTGTCTAAGCTCAGACATAATTTCAGACAGTTTAACTTTCCCTTGTGACTTCCTCTTTTCAACCACTAACTT